TAATGTCTGACTCTAGTCATAAAGAATAAATTTAAAAGATAAGATGCCATTTTATATAGTTACATTTTAGTGGAATCAGTCACATTTTGAACTGTCAATCTTAGGAACATTCAGTCTTCTGAATGAGGCTGGTTATAGTGTCCGTCTCATCAGAAGTGACAGCCAGTTCAATATTGTGATTATTTTTTTTTACAAAGAAGTGGGAAAATTGATAAATTGCATTCCTTACAAGAGAAAGAAGTAGAAATATGAAAGAATTTACACTTACAATCTTATTTATATGTAAATGAGAGTTTCATATATTTCTGGCTTTTGTTTTCCTTCAACAGGTATTTCATGATGTAGCATATAAAGCTAAAGATCGTAATGACTTGGTCTCTGGAATTGACGAGTTTCTTGATCAGGTTACAGTTCTCCCTCCTGGAGAATGGGACCCAACAATTCGAATAGAGCCACCCAAAAATGTTCCTTCTCAGGTGGGTAAATTACACTTAAAATTCAACAAGCACTTATGTGCTTAGCAAGCAGGTGAAGTGTGAATTATCTATATTTTTTTTTGCTTTTTAGATTAATCCTTAATCCATTAAGGAACTATTAAGAGCTGAGGAGAACAATTCTCTGTAGTGGCAAGACTGTTGTTTATAGTTTTATGAAATCACACAAAATAAAATGCACTCAGTTTGGTTATGTGATGCTTAGATACTCAAGAAAATTGGTGATTTAGAATATCTGAGAGACTGCAGTTCAACCAACCACACTGTTATTTAATTATTTTATTTTTACCTTTGTTCATTTCTCAGTTGCTCTAGTGATTTAATGAATGTCTAAATGTTTTTGTTCACGTGTACGTCTCTGAAATTATGTCATTATAATCTATATATGCTTTCTGTACAGCAGAGTATAAAGTATAATCTTTATACTCTTTCTTCTGTTTATTACAATTACACGCTTCTTGAAAATAGAAAATTACAAGAGACCTAAAGTCAATATTAAGTTATCAGTTACACAAAGCAAAATACCATGCTGCAACCCTGTGAAGAGGATGAGAGGATATGTGCAACTGATACTTAGTACCTGATTGAAAACTGATCACATACAAAGGTAGTGAGTGTGGTATACAAACGGATACAGGGCATATTAGACTATTAAGGATAGCTCATGGCTTTGAATAAACAATTACTTTTATACTTTAGAAGGCATTAAGCTGTCTAGTTTTCAAAGAGAGGAACAGTTAAAAGCACTTTTACCCTTATTCTGGTCTTATCTCAAATAAGAAAAAAGTAAGATAAGACTAAATCTAAATAGGAAAATCAGTAGAACTGTCTTTCATAGAAATGGTAAATAAATCAGAAGACTGAGAAACCTATTGTTACTTTGTACAAGCATAGATATTTTTTCTTGACTTCCCAGAGAAACTGTTTTTTTCATCAGGAGGAAGTATAAGCAAACCCAAGAAAAAGCATGGAGTAAATATATACTTTCTTATTTATTAAATTGCTTTTAATTAAATGATTTTGCTTTTGCTGAGTTGCTACTTTTTAGTAAAAGTACAATGAGCAGGTAAGAAGGAGATCTGAGCGTAACATAATGATATTTTCATTTCCCTAAAATATTTTCCTGGAACATAATTTTTTTAGTCCAGGTTCAAAATTCTTTGCAGCTGGTGAGCTACTTGTGGTATTTTCATATTATGGCAAAGTTTGGAGAACCTTCATGAGACTTATCTAAAGCAACTGAAGGCTTTAACCTAAATTTGGACTTAATCCTGTGCCCTTTATACTGAGCATTAAAGTCCTAGGATACGTTGCGTACGGAGCTAAGAAATTCTGAAACATTCAAGAAATTTCAGAGGGAGATGTACAGAAGCTTAACTAAGGAGGGTGACTTGGGCACCAGCCCTGGGTACTGGTGCAAAAATAGTAGCTACTCCTGTTGCTTTTCTAGCTATTGTCCCACCCCGGCAGCCTAGCTGTGGCAGCTGCCCTGTTCACTGTTGCTGTCCAGGGCTGGACTGTGGCTGTCCAGTTACGTGGGTAGTTCTAGTTACTAGTTTTTTTGCAGTGCGAAGTCCTTAAACAATTACTCCTTAGTAATCTACTCCCTTTCATACCTGCATGGAAATTTCTTGCAACTAGAACTAGAATTACTGGAACCGGCTTTAAACTTGCATTACAGCAGTGATAGCCTGGAACTAGTGCAGGGTACAAAACATGTCTGATGAGCTTTGTGAATGTTCAGTTGGCTAGCCAGTGCAGAAATCTGTGCTGCTGTGGTTACATTAGTTTAAGGTTGATTTTGGCATGTGTACTTGAACTGTAGTCATACCACTGCAGTATAAATAAAACTTTATAGAACTCCTGAGAAACTGTCTTAAGATACCCTTCCCACTTCTACTGCTTGGAAGCTGCTCCTGCAGGTCTCACCCACCTCTTTTTGTATGAAGGCAGCACAGCCTCATTCCAATTATAATACCACACACACAATAGAAACCTAGATACAATTTTAAACGTGTTTCTATTTTACTTAATGGATGGAAACTAAAAAGGGGAAATAACTATATCTCTTGCCTTCTTTTCTTGCTAAAATCATATTTGGATGATTAAACTGAGTAGAAAAAAACTTTCCTTTCTTGTAGGAGAAACGTAAGATCCCAGGAGTGCCAAATGGGACAGCAGCTCATGGGGATCCAGAACCACTTGGAGGGCATAGTGGACCAGAATTGCAACGGACTGGAAAGTTAGTGGGAAATTATGTTATATGAGATATGTTTTTTTTTTAAGCAGTATGTGCCCAAAGAAAGTGTATTGGCCTGAATTTCTCTCAACTACCCGGATCCAGCATGTCACTGTATTCACTGCAATGGAGTTATTCCTCATTACATGGTTATCAGGTTGTATATTATGTAGAAATATCTGGTATATGTTGAGTATCAGAAGTAGGATAGTTGTGGTATCCTGACAGTCCACCCAGGCTAATATACCATGCTTAGCAAGTAAATTAGTCCAGGCAGAGTGCTGCACTAATTCAGTTACACTGCTTTTCAGAGCTACCTTGGTTATCTTACACAACACTGCATAGTGAATGAGATGCAAACAAATAAGGTATTAAACTAGCAATTTTCACTTTTTGTTTTCTATAGAGTATGCTTTCTATTCTTTTAGTGAACGTGAGCTCTTTTTTTAATACTATGAGATGATCATATGACTGGTAATCATGATTAAAGCTGCTTGTTTCATCTACACATGCATGGTAATGCACATTGACCTATTTTAATGCACATTAAAGCATTACAAAAAATGCGCTTTTGCTAATGCATCTTTTTCCAGAACCTCACAATGGAGGCACTAGATTTAACATGCAATAGCAAAAGTGCATTAATGAACATGTAGACACCCTCTGGAGTGAAAGGAAAGTCAGAAGTAGCTGCTCTCATACACTTTAAAAAATATACTCTTTTGTCACTGAGCTTTTTCAGTGGTTGAATACCTTGCTCAGGTGGCGACTGGGGTGAGTGGCTGGAAGCTCAGAGGTTGAGAGTTCAAGGCTACAGCAGAAACGCTCTTGTCTGGCTGCCAATGAATTTGCAAGTTCTGCTAAATACTTTGTCACAAGGACACGAGAAAGGAAAGGAAGTGGTTGAATTGTGCAGCTCTGGCTTTAAATACAATAAGCCAAAATCTCCCCTCAGATAAGAAGCTCTGAAGGTATATGTTTGAGGGTAGATTTGTCCTAAAGAATATGTGCATGCTCTTTTTTTGCACATATTATAAGCACAGAGGTTTCAATTGGCTGTGAGACTGGTAACCACACTATGTATTTAATTTTCTTTTCACTCTCCTTCAATTTTAAGTCTTGTTTAAGTACATTGAGCTGGAAGTGTATGTGGAACAGCTGAAGAGGTGATAGCAACAGTTTTTTTAAACCATCTTTTCAGAGACACCATTTATCTTAGGAATGACGAAGAGCCAGTCATCTTCCTCTCAGTAAAATTTAGAGCAGTGTCGATGTGGCTCTGAATTATACCTGCCTGAGTAAAGTCTCAAAGGCCATTCTGACAACTAAGGATTGTCCAAAGACAGAGGCTCTTTAGCCCTGGAACACCCGGTATGCAAGGATCCTGGCAAAAAAAGAGTATTGCAGAATCAGTCTGTCAACGACACCCAAGGGGCATTTCTGGGTAGGTGGCTTAAACCAGATTTGGCAGCTGTGTACAGACAGACTGGATCAATGCAGAGAGATTGAAGAGTAGAGTCCAGACCATGGCTTTTATTTACTGAGTATACTTGGTCTTTTACAAATGGCAAAGGAAGACACAAAATTTTGTCACGGAGAAGTGCATCTAATGAAATATTTGAATGAAAAATTTGTTGTTTATCTGATAAAAGGAGAGAGAGAGTTGCTGCCTATTGTAAGCAGCACCATAGGAGAAAAGTAAAAAAAAAAATATATATTCTTTCCCCTTTGTTTTTCTTAGAGTTTTTGGAGGACTGATTATGGACATCAAAAGAAAAGCTCCCTTCTTCTGGAGTGACTTCAGGGATGCTTTCAGCCTACAATGTCTCGCATCATTTTTGTTTCTCTACTGTGCTTGTATGTCTCCTGTCATCACCTTTGGTGGTCTGCTGGGAGAAGCAACTGAAGGTCGTATAGTATGTGTTTTACTTTAATCCGAAATTTTAAAACGCATTGACTTTATTAGGTATGTGGTTAGTATATTCCTAATGTGGCATAAATCACCTTTACAATATTACAGTCTGCATGTTTGAAGGCTACAAACTAAGTTGTTGCATACAGGGCTTGGAATCTAAGGAAATATATGTAAGCTCCTGTTTGTTTCGTGTGCAGAGTGCAATAGAATCTTTGTTTGGAGCATCCATGACTGGAATAGCCTACTCGCTCTTTGGTGGACAGCCTCTTACAATACTAGGCAGCACAGGACCAGTTTTGGTGTTTGAAAAGATATTATTCAAATTTTGCAAGTAAGTGGAATCATTTTCATATTTAAAAGTTTCAGGGAACATTCTCAGTGCAATGTGGTGCATATGGCTAAATAATAATTGCAAATCATTTGGTGTCATGAGGATGATCTAACAATGTGTAATGTAAGTGAGGTTGTCCTTTTCATGTGTGCCATCATGAGCTCCTTTTTAATTGATGGCAATCTAATATAAAATTCAAAATATAGCAGTTAAGGGCATGATCCTCATCCAGAGGTATCAGCACCTCATGGAGTAAGATCAGAAGTCTTGATTGTGGGAAATAGAGCTTAGACTTTTAGAATATGTCTATGCAGGGCAGCAGTACGCTCCATTGGTATGCTACTGGCTATTTTCCACACGCACATCCCTCTGTCCCTGCTTGACACTCCAAGTGTGCAAATACACTCTGGGATGTTCCCTCTTTTCTTGCTCTTGAGACATCATCTTCCAGCATGGGAGTGGCATGCTTAGTACTATCCTGGCTGGCACATGCTGCTGCTACTGTACAGTCACACAGAACAATTTCTCAGTGATGAGAAGCAAGGAACCTGTTAATTACATCAAAGCGAGTTTTTTTTTACCTTTTATAAACCTAGTTTCATAGTTTGTAGGGTCGGAAGGGACCTGAGC